GGGGTCCTTATGGAATAATTTCTCTTACCCAAGAAAGAAACTCCGTAAAACAAGAATGTATCCGAGGGATACAACAGACTCTAAGAGACAATGCCCTACCATCAATCTCTACCAACTAAGCTGGAACAACCCCTGATGCCAAAACAAGACATAGAAATGAATAGCTACTAAGTAACATAGCAACGGACTACATATTTACGCAAGTAGTAAAGAATCACATAAGGCATGTCAATGTATGCATCATACAATCATGCTAAGGATGACATGCACGTGCAATACGCCAGAGCAAACAAGCATAACCCTCATGCTAAGCAGACAAGCGTAAATCAACCAGCTAAAACAGAAAAGCACATACAATGTACTGAAGCCGACAAGCATATGCAGTATGCTAAGGCAGACAAGCACATACAATATACTAAAGCAACAACCATATATATCATGCTGAGACAGTTAAAGAAAACTTCTAAACATACGTCCACATGAGCATGTAAACATGTTATCAAGAAGCAACTAAAAACATAGAACATGGCGACATAAGCATGATATGCACCTAAAACCCATCATCCTAAGGTTTTCGAACCCGGACGCTCTGATACCACCTGTGCGGCCCTGGATTTTTCAATCCAGTGTGTCATGTGATGACCCGAACCGGATCTAAAAATGAGGAAGCAAAACCGAAACAAGGTCTATAAAGACATCAATCATCCCTAAGACACCAGAGTGACCTTCCATAAAGTCACGGAACTCAAAGAAATAACTGAAAGCGAAAGCTAGAATGAAAGGGGTCAAATGGTACCCTATGGCACCAATGACAACCAAGGGAACAAGATCTAGTTCAAACTAGATCACATATACTATTAAATGGCCCAAACAAGATTAATGAAATTGAGTGGAAATAAACCAATTGGTACAAGCCTGAAGAAATAACAACCCAACAAAATCAACAAGGCAGCTCCATTTCGGTTGGCCGAAATGGAGCTTCGGTCGGCCAAAGTGAGCCAGGAAAAAAGAAGAAGAATGAGCCCTCATTTCGGTCGACCGAAATGACAAATCGGTCGACTGGTTTGTGGCTCAAGATGAAATTGGCTACTGGGATTGACAAAATACTGTTCAAATCAATTTGAACAATGAACCAGTTGACCGAAATAAGCCACTGGTCGACTGAAATAGGTCGAAAAACTAAAAATCAGGCCTGCTATGCACCAAATGATAAAAGAATTCTTAAACTCATTTGAATCCCCCATGGCATGATCAATTTACATTATATGCTAATGTGTGATGATGTGAACATACTCGCAAGTGTAAAACGACATTTTAGACATGTTACAATGGCCCATGGCCTTATTACAATTCATTTACAAATTTTGACGTGCCAAACTTTCAAAGTTAATAAAAATACATTTCTTAAACAAAATGTGGCACCAAATGAGCATAATTGCAAATATAAACATGCTTGACCCTTGGCCTCATGTTATACATGTCAAATACATTACAAAAAAGTGTACTTAAGTACACATTACATATGTAGAATCAATGATACAAGTTTTGACATATAAACTACAAAATGGCATTTCATGCTAACATTTGCATGAAATGGAAATTTAAAAATTACAAGTCATCTAAGGAATGATGAGCATCACGAACCAAGCCTTCGTACCTGAAACAAATCCCTAGTAACTTCGGGGTGAGTAACATAAAGCTACTCGTAGGAAATGAGCATGCATTGACCTAGCATTTTACAAAATTATCACCTTAAGGTGAAACATGTCAAAGGGGGCTCATGTCACCTAACGTCTATGTCAAAATGAGACTCAAGGAGCATCCTAGGCTACTCATGCAATTTAAAGTGAACATCAGCATACAAGTATACATGCTTAAGTATACTAAACAATGTTAAAACATGTTATACAACATACAAGCATACGTTTCCAAGTATACTAAACCATATTAAGACAAGTCATGCAATGTCTAAGCATATTTTCACAAGTATACAATTTATATGGAAATCTCATAAATCAAGTATACGAACACAAGTATACTAAGCTAAAAGAGATACGCCTAAAACAAGTATACACGACACAAGCATACTAAATGAAATTTAAACTCACGAAGCAAGTATACAAGTTCAAGTATACTAAATAGAATTCAAATATCCAAAGCAAGCATCAATTCTTAAGCTACAAGTAATCCATGATTAACAATTTGAAATTAAATACGAAATCAAATAGTGGAAAAATTAGGACATGTGGTCGCTAGACTAAGTAAGTATTTTTGGGTAATTATAACCCACAAGGTACCACCTAGTGCGCACTTATGACTTAGAGGATACTTATTCACGTACTAGAGCCAAACCTTAGCCATCACATAAATTATGTCCCCACAAGCTTTCCAAAATCAATAAGTTCAAAATTTATACAAAATCAAATGCAAGTTATCACATTCCATACACAAATAAGGTTGAGTCCACACAAACCATGTCCTAGAATTGAAGTCTAAATAGCATATGACATGTCATGTCCTCAATATGCAAATTATATACAAAGCAAGAATATTTTACAACAATTGAGCCACATTAACATCCTAAGCCACAAGTACTGAATAAACTCTAATTTAGTAACTAGCTTCCAAGGTAAACAATTGTAATATTCTAACAAGTTATATACCTACACAAGATACATTTAAACAAGCTATGCAAGACAATGATATCATATATCATGCTAAGTCCAATTCCTTGATTTAAATATAGAAACAATTTCAAAGACATAGTTAAATCCATGGAACAAGTAGATAGAATTTAATTAACTAAAATAATTAAATTCTCTAGATTTCAAATCAATCCCAAAGAATCTCAAATTAATATATGTTAGGGGACATAGCATAGTCTTCACATATATCACATTAAATATCGAATCAAGGGATTAAACATTTAAAATAAAATTAATTAAACTTATTAATTAATTTTTCTCTAGATTTCCAAATAACTCCAAATATCTTCAATTTTACATAGGTTGAAGAACATACCAAGACCTATTTTAATATCACATTACAAGTTGATTTCATGTTTGTTACAATTATGTGAATTAATCTTTCACAAAAGATAAATATTAAATAAAATTTGCATTTCTTATTCAAATGCTCCCAATGTAATATATGTTGATAAACATGCCAATGCCTAACTTACTAGCATGCCACAATTTAATTCCAAGTTAGACACAACTATATGAATTAAATCTTAAATGTAGAAAATAATTAAATTAAATTCTAAAACTTGTACAAGGCACGCTCATAAGTTATATATGCTCATAAAACAATCAATATAACTTAAATATAAACCCATGACACCCCCTACCTCAATTTGAGATGAAAATCTCAAAAGCCACCAAATGGAAACCGCTCTAAATCCGACGATACTGCGGGATTTTGTCAGGGACAACACAATGATCATTAACCCCAAGGAAGCCCCATCAAAATCACAACTTGACTTTATATCTGAACTCAAAAAAAATGGCTAAAATGAGATTCCAATCGGTGGAAACAAAAGCCTCGCCAAGACGAACATAAAATACCAAGGCACTAGGGTATTTATCACGAGGGAAGGGCTTCAAAAGAGGAGAAGAAGCATGGCAGCCCTTTCGGCTGCTAGGGCCGGCTATGGGAGAGAGACAAGAGCTTTTAAAAAATTTGTCTATCATTTCCTATTTATAGAATTTCAAAAATTGCCCCGAACGGGTCTTGTAGGGTCTGAAAAAGTGAAATTTGAGCAAATGTGCTCAAACGGCAAAACTCTGTGAATGAAAAAGAACCAAAATGAGAAAAGATGAACAACAGAAGAAACGACGTCAAAAACCGAGTCCTGTGCAGGAAGATATGCCCCGAACAAGTTCAGCGGCAACGGGGGCCAAAAACCCTGAAACTGGAAAAAACCAACCAGAAGGAAATTCTAAGAGTACGCGACTCGACGAAAAGTGAAAATGAGTCCCACACGAGAATCCAGGCTCAAAATAAGGCATTTTGCAATAACTTTTATTAATTGCACAATGGTCCCTCAAAAAAGTAAAAACTGCACAATTGGCCCAGAATGAAAATATCTTCTAAAAATCATTTTCTTAAAAACTCCAGAAATAAAATATCTTCAAAAGATATTTACGAAAAATACGCGAAGAAAAGAAAAAGTTTCTGAAGAACTATGCATCCATGCCCCTATGGACACCGGGAGTCACCAAGGTACTTTTCTGCAAAAGTAAAGATACGTATTTCGTGGAAACCACTTAGAATGAAGATACGTGAAGTCAAAAATCAACTCCGAACACAAAGAGTGAGGTTATGCCAACAAAGTGACAAATAGGGAAAAGGACGAAAAGTGAATAGTGTCGAAAAACGAAAAATGTGGAGATGACTCGGTTCTCAAAGAAAGTTGTCAATTCAAAGGAAGGAGTCTCAGAAACCATTTCTGGGCACTCGATACGATACTAAGTGACAAGAAACTAAACTCAGAAAAGAAATTTCAACGAAAAAAAAATTCATCCGTAAAATTATGAAGAAAAAGGAAAGGAAGGAAATGACTGGGTCATTACATGCTTGGTTAGTTACCTCTCAAAGAACTAAAAAAAACACATCATAAAACTTTTTTGAAAGAACTATAAAAGACAGTTGGCAAAAATAGCTCTTTGTATTAGGGGTGCACATGGTTCTGGTTCCTAGTGGAACCAAAATTGGTCCCAACGGTTCCTAGAAATTGGAATCGAAACCGAAATCGTTGGGACATAGAATCGGAACCAAACGATTCCATATATTATTTATTTATTATATATATATATATATATTTTAAAATTTTAATGACTTTAAACACATTCACAGTGCATTTTGATATATGATATTGTACATGAGAACATATATTTATACTATTATACATATATATATATATATATATACATGCATCAATAGATATATAATTAAAAACATTATATTTATATTTATTGTACGGTTACGGAGTCTGAAAACCGAAACCATTCTTAATGATTCTCAAAAATTGAAACTGAAAGTGTTAGAAATCGAAACCGAAGTACCGATTCCGGATTCGGTTCCAGTGATTTTTTGTGCATCCTACTTTATATAACATGGTTTTGTGGAAAAAACCAAAAATTTCCTGAGTGATTAACCAACGCGCCGAGTGTTTGGTCGGTGAGAAAATAATTTAGGACCTACGACTACAAGTTGTTACGGCCACACTCGTTTCCGCTATCCGCACCCAGAGAAAGCAAACTCAAGCACGCTGAAAAGCGAATCTTACTTATAAATAAAAAATAAAAAATAAAAAATAAAAAAAGGTACACACTGATGAGAGGAGGAGGAGGCTGCGTTTAATGGTGGCGGTTTCGAAGGCTGTTCTTCAATGGAATTAAGCTTTTTCTCAACTTTGAAACCCTCATTTTTTTGCAGTACTACTATTAGTAGTAGGAGGAGTATGGGACTTTCCATGGAACTTTCTGCTTTCTCTTACCAGAAATTCATTCATTTCGCTTTGGATGAAACCAAACGCCATACTCATTTGGTTGCTTCTCCCTTACAGGTAACTATCACCCCCTCTCTCTCTCTACACACATGCGTGTGTCGGTGTTTGTGTATATATAATCAGGCATGCAAATATATGTTATTGGTGCGGGAGAGATTTGGGTTCCTTTTGTACACTACTACTACTTTAAATTTCGGTATTTATTTCAATTGTTTTTGAAGTCTTGGAGTAAGTAAACGTGTTATTGATTTTCTACTGTGGGATTCTGCGTCACAACTTGTATTGGCTTGAATCGCTACTATTGTATATTCCCATTGAATTGAATTTGATGTGTCACAATGGATTCAATGTCATGAATCACTGGCATATATTGATCTTTTATGCTGATAATTAACTCCAGTTTTTGAGATTTACTTCAAATTTGGAATGGGTTAATACAGTATTATCTTTTGATAAGTAAATTTGAAATGGGTTATATGTGCAATGACTGAGGACTAAGAGTACTTGGGGTTTTAGGTTTGTTTCTTATTTGATAGTAGTAATGAAATGTTGAGTCTAGTTATTATTATTATTATTATTATTATTTTTAATATTGTTACTGTTTATCTATGCTGCTGGTATATCCCCCCCCCCCCCCCCCACACACACACACACACACCAATCTTCATTTTATGTTGCTTCATAGCTACTTTGATTTGATTTTTTTTTTTCTTCTCAATCAGTTCCCCACAACACACACACACACACACACATCAATCTTCATTTTATGTTGCTTCATAGCTACTTTGATTTGATTTTTTTTTTCTCAGTCAGTTCTCTAGGTAATATTCGCAGTTTTCTATACTATTATGCATCCGACTAGTGCCCTCACTTACCCTGTATTCCATTTCCCAAAAGATGTTGAGGAAATGGTCTGTAGGGTTCATGCCACAATGCCACATTACCTCCAATATTTGCAACTTCTTTCCCTTTAAAGTTCATAGCCAAAATTTGAGGTTAAAACGAGTCTACATTCAACTAGTAGGCTCTATAGTCCGTTTTATTTATTTCCATCAAGGGATGCTTCACACAACCATTGATCTGCTATTGATTGGTTTTCTATTGATTGGAGCATTCTTTGTTTGAACTCATTTAGGGAGTAGGCTAGGCTAACAACTACATGGAAATACAATCTTGTTGGAGTTATCCATAATTTTTGCAAATCAACCTTTGGGTGCCTGGCTTATCATTTGATGATCTATCCCCGTACAGACTACTATTGGGTTTAAAACTGACAAGCAACACAAATCGTCTACCTGTCCAAGCCTTCTAAAAAGTGAAAAAGGAAAATTGACTCATTTGTATAATTTTTCATTATTCCTGTAATGGGATACTTTGGAGGCTGTTGGGACTTCAGGGGGTATCCTTGTCATGTGGAACAAGAGATGGGTGTCAAGTGTGGATGTTTGGAGGGGAAGATTCTCTATTTTCTATGCTTTTGTTATGGAGGAGGATGGATTGAGGTGGGCTTTCTCCGATGTGTATGGCCCGGTGGAGGATGGGGAGAGACACGTTCTGTGGCACGAGCTTGGTGTTGTGAGGGGTTTGTGGGCCCTTCATGGTGTGTTGGTTGGCACTTTAACGCGGTGAGATCCCTGTCGGAGAGATCTTCAGGAGAAAGGTGGTCTTCAACTATGGAGCAGTTTTCGGACTTTATTGATGGCCATCACCTTATTGATTTGCCAATGGAAGGCACTTGTTTCACTTGGGCTAGTGGCAGGGAGGATGGTACACTTTCTCGGCTGGATGGATTCTTAGTTTCCGGGGATTAGGAGGAATAGTTGTGGTATAGGCAGCTTTAGCCAGACCAACATCAGATTATATTCCGTTGGTTTTGGACTGTGGAGGGAGAGCTCCCGGCGCATGACCGCAATACAAAATTCTTTCATAGGTTGGCTAATGCTCACAAGAGGGGTACTCATATTGGGCGGATTTGTGTTGATGGTGTGGATCTATGTAGGGAGGATGAGGTGTGCACGGGGATTGTCTCGTATTATCAGAGACTATACACCGAGACATACAGTTGGATACCTAGACTTGGTGGCTTGCTTTTTTATTCGATTTCATAGATGGATAGGCGACAAGTCCCCAGGTCCGGATGGTTTCACTATGAGGTTCCTGTTGGAGAGTTGGGAGGTGGTTAGGGGTGAAGTGACGGGGACATTTCAGGAGTTTTATTTTGTTGGGCGGTTCGAGAAATCTTTGAATGCTACTTTTATTGCTCTCATTCCCAAAAAGGGTGATGCCACTGATGTGAAGGATTTTAGACCTATTAGCTTGGTGGGGTGTTTGTACAAGCTGATAGCTAAAGTTCTTGCCGCGAGGTTGAGGGATGTTTTAGATGGAGTTATTTCAGAATCTCAAAATGCTTTCATTAGGGTCGGCAAATCCTGGATTCAACGCTCATTGCTAGTGAGTGTGTGGATTCTAGGTTGAGTAGTGGTGTTTCGAGAGTTATGTGTAAGCTTGATATTGAGAAAGCTTACTGTTAGCATATATGATACCATGATTTATGGTATGACTTACCATAATAGCAGAGATTTGACTATGCATATGTTAATATATATGATACCACGATTTATGGTATGACTTACCATAATAGCAGAGATTTGACTATGCTATAGAATATGCCATAGAATATGTTTTAGAATAAGTTGTGATTTGATTTTTGATTTGATTTAGTTTCCTTTCTTGTAATATGAGTATGGGCTCATTTTATCTATAAATACTAGAGCTGTGAATGAGTAATTCATATCATTCAAGCCTTTACGCAATTCTCTCATTTCTCTTATTTTTATATATTTCTTCTCTTACGATCACGTTAGTTGGAGTTTTTTGCTTTATATGATGGAGAGGCTGGGTTTTGGGGTGAAATGGAGGAGGTGGATCGAGTTTTGCATTTCGTCAGTGAGATTCTCGGTGTTGGTGAATGGGGCTCCGTCTGGCTTCTTTGGTAGTTCTCGGGGCTTGAGACAAGGGGATCCTCTTTCTCCTTTTTTGTTCATTATTGTTATGGAGGCTCTTAGCAGGTTGATGAGGAGGGCTGTGGATTTGGGATTCATTAGGAGGAGTCTCCCTTAGGATCTTTGAAATTCCGTATTATTAGCTTCATTTTTTGTTGGGGTATGGGCAGATTTTGTACGTTTATAGAGGAGATTGTTGATTTCTTGGCCTCTGTGGGTCCTTAGGATCCTTCTTTTGGCTTTGGCTTTGGCCTCTATGTATTCTAGGGACGCGTTCCCCTTTTGAATGCTTCCTATACATTTTTACTTATCAAAAAAAAAAAAAAATCATATTTAAACATTCTACATTTTCTTTTTTGTGGAAGGTCATCTGTTTTGTGACTTTGTGTGTTGACTCTGTTGCACTAGGAATTGGGAATGTATTATATTCTTCACATGCGGTATATTATATATGGTCTACTTAGGGATTCGCTTTAAATTTGTTTATTTCCTTGTATTAAATCAGTATAAGAGTGTTTCTTTTTCCCCAAACTTTATGAGCAATGATAATAGATCATTCAATTTTTTTTGTTCCTTGTTATTAGGTATCTAAACTTTTTGGGCATTTACAACATCACATTAGCCATATCTACTAATTATATAACCATTTCTTTGTCTCCTACTTAATTGTTTCTATATATGTATATATTTAAAATCTTTATACCTTTATGATGATATCATATTATTTTAAATGTTAATATGTGCTTAACATTCCTAGGACGATAAAAAGCTCCCAAAACGTTTAGTATTGTTCTATTTCAGTCTTTTCTTTTTTATGAAGTCTTTTTCAAAGTTTCTATACGAAACCGAGATAGTTACCTATCAGAAAATTCTAACGATAGGGGAAATGTCCATGCTCTATTCTTATGAAGGTGGGAGAAAAGCTGAAACTAAAACTAATCACTAATCAAAACTTAAGTTTAAGTTATTGGATTTTTTATATGTAGTCAACAAATTTTAAGAAATTAAATATGTTATAAGAACCACAAATTTACATCATTATTCACAATTTTTTTTTTTATGCTATGAGTTTCCATAACCTGTTTACTCTATTCCAGACTACCTAAATTTTATATATTATCAGGAGAATTTCAGTTCCATGATGGCCATGGATGGGAAAACAGAGCTTCAAATGCTCTCATTCCAAGCTTCCAAGATTAGACTCCTCCGTAGTCTTTGCATCGAAGGGAGTGGAACAATGAAGGTATTTGTTGCTTTGTGCACTATAACATCTAATTTTTTGTAGGGTTCCTTCCTGTCATATTATTCATGTTTAAGAATTTGTACAAGAATTATTCAATGCAAATGTAGAACCTGTAAATATTTTGATTGATGTGTGGCTCTTTCTACTAATGGGGTAATAAAAGCTATTGAAATTGATGTGACACAGTGGATTACGTATACTAGGTTGAATGGGTCTTGATCAATCTCTACTTACTGTTTTCCTTATATTAATTTTAGTAATTAATCATTAAACATTCAATTCATCAATCAAGGAAATCCTAATATAATATATTGACCAGGTTTTAAATCGAAAACACTCAATGTGGAAAAACCACGAGACCTGGACTAGGACCCACAACTTTACCATAAGAAGAAGAAGTAGAAGTTACAGGCTTCACTCCCTGAAGTTACTAGCCATTGATTTATCCTTGCCGTACAATTTTACTCACTGGTCCAGACTCCTCTCTTGGAATCACTGATGTTCTTGTCCATGTCAACACAATCAATCCTCATTACTCGCCTTCTTTAGAAACCATTACCCTAAGAAGCACGGACACGGATACGACACGACACAGACACGGCGACACGGCAAATCCAAAAAAATTAGGACACGGACACGGACACGGACACGGCGAATAGTATATAATTATATATATATGTGATGTAGTACTTTAAAAATTACTGAGTGTTATTATTTTTCATCAACCTCACAATGAAAAAAAACACAAATCATAACTCACAACTAATAAACTATAAAAGAACAATGTTGCATAGTTATAAAATCAAATAAAAAACAAGACATTAGAATAATAACTAGTATCATTTAGTCATCATTGCAACTTTACTCCAAATACAAAAGCATAGACAGAAAGGACTATTAACGTTCATGACTGTTTAACATTCAGGACTTTACTGTTAGCACTTAATATTCACAAAAACCTAAAGGCTAGTCCCCAAAAAAGATGCAAAAACAAGTCAGTGTACTATCATCTATTCCCATTCATCATTTGACCTAGGACTTTTACCATTTACAATACCAAAAGGGTAGTACAAAACAAAAATTAGAACATATCAACATTAAAAAAAATTTTTTTAAAAATTAACATATCAGCATTAAAAAATAAAAAAAATTCCAGAAAAGTGTGTCCGAGCCGTGTCCGAAAATAAAATAAAAAAAATAAAAAAAAAATTCCAGACACGTTTTTTGGTGTGTCCGACACAGATTCTTCGCCCATTTTGGAGTGTCCGTGCTTCCTAGCCATTACCCATTCATAACAATTAGAACCTCCAAACTCTAATGTGAATATGCGATCAAATTGAAGGTTATTGATTAAATCTCAATGATAGATTGATGTATCTCCTTGCTAAAACTCGAATCACGCAACAATCATAATGGTTTATCCAATCAAATCCGATCTACGTGATGGATCTAAGCAACAAAACTCTTATGATGGTGTAGGAGGAGGAAAGAGGAGGAAGCAATCGGATGAGTATAAAAAGAAAGGGAGAAGAAAGAAAAAAAGAAAAGAAGATTTTTTCCTTGCTAGATCTCAACCAGTCGGTCCAGTCCAGATCTCAGTAATATTGTTTAGACTGTTGGTAAGAACGACAAAACAGGATTAGGAACTCTGAGCTGCAGGATATCTGCTCCAAACTTGTGCCTTCTTGTTGCTTTAATTTCTGTTGAATAAAAGAATGTATGGACTTTTTCTTTGTTCTGATTCTCCTACAAAATTTATATGCAGGTTATGGATTTTGCTGTGTTTCCAGAACCAGATTTCGATGTACCTATATTTTGTGCCAACTTTTTCACTGTTTCTTCCATGAACATAGTTGTGTTGTAAGCCATATGCTTTACCTTATTTGATTTGTTGAGATGTAGTTACCATCTAGTTTACTCTTACGGTCTTACCTATTTGCAGAACTTAGTTTGAAGTTTCTCCAAAAAATCAGTAAATCTCATTTGGGATCACATTTCGATCATTGGCAATGCCCAGCCACTAAACTGTTTTCCCATTTCAAACAATTCCAGAACATCTATGGAAGTGATTCCCAGTGCTTCAATAAGTTGACATTTAGCTTTTTAGTTTCTTTGTATGTTTTCTCAACCCATTGTGTGTGTGTGTTTAGATATCTTTATCTGTCGGTTTGTGTATGTGTGTGTGTATAATGTTTCTGTGCACATGGCTGGCTAGAACCTTAGGCAGTCGCCTTAGGCCCCAGAAGGCCCCCCAAAAATTTTACTACCTTATATTATTACGACAGAAAAGTAAACACACCACACAAAGAACACAAAGATTTATACTTGGTTCAGCAACAACCTACGTCCACGGTTGGGGTCCGACAAAAGTCTTCACTATGTGTAAAATCGGAGATTACAAGTTTTCAGCCCCACTCTGTTACCTTACGAATTTCAAAGTCTCACTCTTACACCACTCCAAACCCTAAGCGCTCTTATATATCGGGCTACAAGAGACTAATTAGGGTCCACAACCCAAGAGAAAATAACGGGTCAAAAGTTTTCCACACAAAGCTCATTCAACGAGTCGTTGGGTCATAAGCGGGTCGCGTTACGGCACCAAATTTGGTCCACAATATCACATTTTGTTTGAGAGTTGTGACCATTTTTATCAATATTATTGTTTGTTTTTTTTTTTTTTTTTTTTTCCATAGTTGGTACTCACACACACATGCCTCCAAGGGTATATTCACTCCTTTCAGCACTTGCATTAAGGTGATTTTGTCTGACTACCATAGCACCACGTAATGTTTCATAATACCATGTAATTCTCACTCCCCTATCCCTTGCACTTGCCTCACCACAATGCTTGGACACTGACTCACAAATACACCAGAATTCACTCAACAAGGAATATATAGAAGTCTCAAGCACTCAGAAATGAGAACGTAGCACAAACAGCTTGAGTAGACAGCAACAAAGGCTCTCAGCTTCTGTTGAATATGCAGACTGAGGTTTCATATGGTAAACTTTTGATGCAGCCTCAGTTTTAGCTTGGTAGTGACTTGAGTGAATAGGTAATGGCAATAAAATCTTGCTCACACCAAGACCTAGCTTAAAATCTGAAGAAAAGCTCACTGAGTATGAATGTGCAGAAAATAGGACTCACAGCAGCTTTTACTTTGCAAACCAAGGCTTCAGGTAGTTGGAAATTATTGCAGCTTGTTCCTTGCTTGGTTGTGGCTTAAATAGATGTGTATTGTTGATTGGAACTTGTTCACACCAAGATGTGCTTCAGAAACAAGAATGTAGCATGAATCTGCTGTAGTTTTTTGGCTCTCAGCGGCTTCAGATTCTGCAGAATGAGGTTTCAGGTAGTTGAATATTGCTGCAGCCTCAAATCTTGCTTGGTTAGGATTAAATAGGTAGATAGTGATGAATAAAGCTTGCTCACACCAAGTTTTGGCTCAAGATAGGATTTTGCAGCTATGATAGAAGCCCAAGGCTCTTGTCCAGCAGCAAAATTGCAGAATCTGCAGCATGAACTCAAAAGTCTGCAATTTTCCTTAGGCTTCAATCCCTTGAATTAAATATTGAATTCCAGCTTTTGTTTCTTCAAATAACTTTCACAAGAATTCGTACACAATTCAGTCAATGATCCTCAGCACACAATACACACTCTCAAGCTTTTTCAAAGATAGCAAGGACAAGGATTCTGAGCAGTTGCAGCTGGATTATATTGAGAGAATGCTGATGCAGATAATGGATAAGAATGACAGCTGTCCCAAAAGCATGCCAGAGAATATTTAGTCCGTTGGGAGACTAGAAAAGACCATAATGCCCCTGCTTTAAACAACTTTCCATTTTGGCAAAATTACCCTGCAGAATTTGAATTCTGCACCTTTTGAAAGGACAGCTGAGACCTTTTCTCATAATGGATCTTTCTAGATTTCAGTGAGCTGGCTTTGTACTCGACTCTCCTGTACAATTACCAAACTGCCCTTGACAGGCTGTTAGTGCACATCTGTTTGATGAAGACCTCTAAGAAATGTTGCTGGAAGGTAAAGCATGATACTTAACATACTAAAATGATAGGCATCCTGCAGAGACTAAAGGATGAATCTATAAAAGCGTAAGTTTGTCATTAAAGAGGCAAACACGGTCTTAGGAAAAATGCTAAAACAAACACTGCCTTAGGACATAGACCAACATAAGACTCCCCCTCAAGTTGGTACACAGAGATTTTAACTCAAGTGTACCAACTTGAAACTAAATATAAAGTTGTCGAGAGTCCTTGGTTTTGAGTTTGTCGCCCATGATATCCAAGACAAGTAGATATGATTACAAAATTCAAGTGAGAGGAGAAAATCCGAGATGATGTGATCTTTTGATGGGGAGGAATCTTCCTTGGGGGCTTTGAAGTCATATTATTAGCTCTCTTTTTAGTTGGATTTTGGGGAGAAATTGTATATCTATTGAGGAGTTTATTGATTATTTGGGTTCGGTGGGTCCTTAGGACTTTGTTTCTGGCTTTGGCCGTTGTATAGATTTCGGGATGCGTTCTCCTTTTGAACGCTTTCTAATACAATCTTACTTATTAAAAAAAAAAAGTATTAATATCCGAGATGAGTAGATCCGATCACAAAATTCGAGCGAGTTGAGGGGAGCCGAATGAGACTAGAGTACGGTATGATAAACTTGTTCTGATACTATGTTGATAAAAAAATAAAAAGATTGAAGAGAGAAATCAAGAATGAAACAACACAAAGATATACATGGTTTGGCCAGTACGACCTACATCCACGGCACACACCAACCCTAACATTTGGGAGTCTCGTCTTTTTTTTTGGTTCATGGACTACTATGATTATGGAATTTAACGGACAATCTTTATAATCACTTTTTATTAATCACTTTTTATTTTTACTTATATTCATTCATTTTTCATCCTTGTTTTCCGAATTCCTCAATTCAATCTCTTGGATCAGAATTCATTAAGAAGTGTCGTTGGGCTTTTCAAAATTATCTCCTGGAAAAAGAAACAAAAGGAAAATTCCATGAGCTGTGCAACAGTTACAGAATCTTGTGATTTGAAGAATATGGAGTTTATCAATATTAGATTGTACCAAGAAATTGCCTCTCTTGAAATCAAATATTTGTCTTAATCTTCCTGCAACCTAATCAATGTGGTTATGGAATATTTTGAGAGCTCGAATACTCTAGAGCTTGGCATTGATTGATCATTTACAGGGACCTTAATCCATTGCATGATGTCGTCAGTCAAAGGGATTACAGAGAGAAGTACTATAAAAGGTTAATGCCTCTTTCTCTCAAGTACACTGAGGTAAGAAAAATGCTTACTGTCACTCCAATTAAGTTACAATTTAATTGAATCTTTGAAATAATGCCTGCACCCTGTCTGAAAATTATAGTATGGTGACTAAACGCAGATTTCTTGCAGCTTTTGCCTTGGGGAGGAAAGATTACCAGTGAGTCTCTGAGATTTTTCTCACCAATAGTAATATGGAGCAAGTTTCCTTCAAGCCAGGACAATCACAATGCTTTATATTCTGCCTTCATGGATTACTACAAGGTAAAATATATGTGCAGTGTGATGTTAGGTGTTACAAATTGCTAGTTAGATTTTTGCAGACTTTTATGTAATATCTACTTTCAAGTGAATGACTAAAGATCTTGAAATACAATGAATGTGGTTACAATTTTGGTTGCACTTGCAGGCATGGCTGGAGCTAATTGACCAAGCAACAAAGGAAACAGATGCTTCTCGAATCATTTGCAATTGCGAAGCACAACATAGGTATCTCACATGGAGAGCCGAAAAGGTGAGTGATTTCTGTTCTTCCCCAGGTTTTTGTTACAAACATTTTCAGCTATCCTTGTGACTGGTTGTGGCGCTCTAATGGCGTTATTCCTAAATGAATTCATCTATTTGGATTTTGCTGATGAAGATGATATAGTCGGTAGAAGAGAACATATTTTCAAGTTAATGCTAGATTGACAAAGGTCAGTAAGGAGGCATGCAATAACCTCAAAACATGTTGATTATTGTCAAAAGTATGGATCTTGTTTTATTTACCTGATGGTGATTATGTTTGCATCTAAAATAAAACCACCAGAGTCTTTTAGGATGTTGTCATAATTTAATGGGACTGAAGATGTTATATTTTAATAAAATGCATGTGTGTATAAGGGGAAGTCCATTACCAATCATGTATAAAACCTCAAAGACATTATAATCTGTCTAGTCTAAAGTCGATCTGCTCTAATACCAATTGAGAAATCTAGGGCCCGGGACCCAAGACCATGATATGTTGGAGTACACTATACCCAATTAGACCAAGAGTGAGGTGAATAAGTCTTTTGCACATTGATATTTTTTACTTAATTTCGACTATAACTAATTTAGCCAACTAAATAATCACATGCTTAGCAAACCATCACCTCAGCCTACCCTGAGAGTTGTTATGTTTTAGAGCTTTGGAGTTAGTTGTTATTTCCTTTGGTTATATGGCATGGTGAAGGGGTATACTGATTTCAGAAGATTAATTCTGCAGTGTGCCCTAAACCTTTTCTCTAATCATTTTCTCTTCCTCTCCCTTATGAGTTCTCACATAACCCTTTCCAGTGTTTTATACTTAACTTGGTATCAGAGCGACCAATCTGAAGCCATTAAACACGTTGAAAATCATCTGAAAGTCACTGGGAGATCATAATCTTCAAATCGAGGTGATGTTAGCGTGTGCTGTACCCATCCCCAGGATCATTTACTACTCTTGGTAATTATGGTGATTTTTGTGCAGTGTTTTTGAGGTTATCTGATATGTGTTTTCTAATTTCAAAGTATTTTAGGAATTTTCTTCTCATTTTGGTTGATCTGTTTCTTGGATGAGTTTTGGCCCAAAGATCTGGAACTAATCCACACAGAGAGGTGTGATTAAGCCTCTAGGACCCTTTTGTTTGATTTATGAAGAGCCTAATGCCATTTTTATCGATTTGGTTGCTTTGGATGTGGGTGACGACATATTTTTTTGGTTCGTTTCTTCATTGAATGGTTCCCAACAGCATTGTTTTGGTTAGTTTTGGTCCTACTCTTCACTGAATACTACCCATCAGTATTGTTGTGGTTATATTTGGTTCTTTTCCTTCACCAAATTGCATTTGGCAGTGGTGTTTTTCCTCGTTCTTGGTTGGGATTCTGCATTGACTTGCATTTAGTTTGAGTTTTGGTCTGGATTGGTTGTGTTTGATTTGCCATGGCCGACGAAAAAGCACCACTGGTCAAGGACGATGATATGCCCATATCTATTACCTCAAAGAAGTTAAATGGTCTGAATTACCTAGCTTGGGCACTTGCTTTGAAATAAAAAATAAAAAAATTTGCGTGGGGAACGTAAATTGAAATATTTGACAGATAATCCACCTGATAAGATGGACTCAAAATATTAGGACTGGATGTATATATTGAGTAACCTAAATGTTAGGTTAAAGAGTGGATATTATGTGACTCTCTATTAGATCCTCGGGTTCTGCCGCTTGCACTTTCATCAAGTGTTATCCACTTAACAAAATTTAATAATATTTTCATTGAGGTTTTTTTTTGGTTATAAAGTGAGCTAAATTAATTATGAAATTGTTATTAATCATCATCCATCTATGTGACTTCATAATAGTCACAACAATAATCAAGAATTATCTATAATATGAAAGCAGACCAAACTATTTTTATTTTTTTTCCCAAAAGAAATTCAAGCAAGCATATTTAACACTCCTTCGAGCCCTTTTTGTTCTACCTATTGCAGTTTTCACACTATTGGGTAACCAGCTCTTTCCTAAGATAGTTCTATTATTATAGATTTCCTCATGCCCCATTATCGTCCCACCTCACCCCGCCCTGTTCAATAAATGGTTCTGGGACGAGGACGGGGATAGTTATGCTAAATGGTAATGGAAATGGGGATGACATTCCCTGCTTCACACTATCCCATTGTCATCCTCAAGTAAAGACTCTTCTCTCAATTCTCATAAACAAGTTATGGTCAATTTTTAAAGACACAAAGGTCAATTTTTACAACTTGAATTCCTTACCGAAAATAATTTTTAAATTGGTCTTTAACTTAAACTAAAAATCTAAGCTTTCTAACCAACATTAAGGATTCCAAAGTCAATTATTAAATAAAGGGTAAAGTGCATAAACCCCCCTAAACTATTTGTCCTTTTGCAAATAACCCCCCTGAACTATTGATTTGTTGCACTTAAGGACAAACCCATCACAAAAGACTATTTTACCCTTTCTCATTAAATCTGTCATTTCTTATTAAATTATTTTTATTATCTTTTCTCTTATCTAAATAATAATTATACTTATTTACCTTAATTTTATTATTAGTATCGATTTATCAACTAACGGGTCAGTGGCCTAGCGATATTAGTCTCTTACTTCTCGAAGGGAGGTCAGGGTTCAAGTTTCAGAAGAAACAAGTGTGTGTGAGTACCAACTAGGAAAAAAAGAAAAGAAAAAATAGTATCGATTTATCATAAAAAATGGAAAAAATTAAATAGATTTGTAATCATATTTTCTAATATGATTAACTTATAATTAAACTATACTATTTATAATAAAACTTCTTATACTCAATTTAAACTTTTTTTTACCATAAAAAATACCTTTTTTTTTCATACAATATTGAAGATGCAATAATTTTCTCTCCCTAAATTGACAGAGTTTCATTACACTTCAAACTTTTCGATCCTCTCTCTCCGTTATTTTTTGCCTATTTATAGATTGTTTACAGTGTTCTAGAAGATTTCTAACTAACTTTTCTCATTGGGCTCGTCCTCGAGGCTTTTATAACCTTGGGCCCAATCACCTTTAAGGGCCTCCAGCTTCACTCTTCAGCATTGGGCTTGCCTGATGACAGCTTGATTCAGGCCCAGGTCTTTTACCGGGCCCATTCTTCATCATATGGGTTGGATTGGCCGCCTTTGGTATCCTCAATTGCCCCCATAATCACTCCCTCATTAATTAGGGTGTGATTATCAACCAAGCTAATGATGACTTGACGGCTAATGATGACCTGACGGCTCAAGATGATCACGTGGGGGTTCTTCTCTCTCAATTCTTTTGCAACATCCTTTGCTGCTCTCAGTCCTTTCAAGGTTAGTTATGCTTTTTCTTCTTCTTCAAATATTTGTATATTTCCCCCAAGGATCATAGTCGTTGACATCATGCCTATAGATTTAGATATTCTGTGCATGAAGCTCCATCTCTCTTCCGAGATTCACCTTAGAGAATGCCCCAAAGACATAAATATCATAACTAGTGCCGGCCTTCTTCCCGGGGAAACCTTGTTTTCCCTTCATCACCTCAACATTTCCCTCTACACCCTTTCTTCTGCTATGTATTCAATAGGTTAAACCTTTCTCCTTTCCAAGTTAACCCCAATTTTTTTAGGGTTCTGTCCGTTCTGTTACTTCTGAACCGTGACAGAGGCCTAGATCTTGACTTAGTTGATGTTCTTCTTTGTTACAAGGTGTGCAAGATTAGGTTAGAGGACTTATATTACCATTTCTACCCTATTGAAAAAAGATCCATCTGTACGGACAAACTTAAGTTCGAGAAGGGGTGGAAGAAGGGCATTGTTGGCGTTCGGGGGGCTTGGTTTGCTCCGGCTACCAAGGATTGCCCTGTCCCAACTGCCTTCGGCGAATGCTTCGTGTCTTCTTATAAGAAATTCAAAACCCATAAGACAAATTGCCCTTGTGAAACTTGCATTCTTCGCTTCTGTTCGTTTCTTTGCAATTCTTTAGATATCCCGCAGGATAACGAACTTAGTTACAACGTTTGCAGGGATAGGTTCAATTATCTGAAGGACTACGTTCTGAACGACATCCCTTCCTGTTCGGAACTCCTTACGTCCGAGAATTTAAGTGATATCTCACTCCTCGGCACCACAATGAGTCAGCTTCGGATTCCATCTTTCAGCAGGAGGAAGGATCCTCCTAGGGTTGCTGCTTCCGCGGCTTCTTCTTCCCCAGCCTCGGCATCTTCATCTGCCACCACTTTCAGCACTACTCCGAACGTGGTGACTGTTCATCCGATCGTCACCGCTCCACCTGTCAACCCGAACACTGTTCCTCAAGTTCGGAATACCTCTGCCCCCACTGCATCCGTTCAGGATAAAGAACGAGGAAAAAGGCCTCAGCCTGAAAGCGAAGGCAGCCCCGATGAAGTTCCTCTAGCAAGGAGGATTCGAACTTCTGGGCCGGGCTTGCCTATCCCTCCTCAGGTCAGACTAACTGTTCCTTCCGGGTCCGGTACTGCCACCGGTTCCCCCTCTGGAGAGGCTCCGTGGACCCCCAGATTTGTCCGAGCTGATGGCTCGATAGTGAAGCCAAGCGAAACTATGTTCAGAGAAGGCCTAACAGCCATGGCCTATTACAAGAACATGTGGTCTCCCAAAGACATTGGGGTTGCCAAATCTCTGTCTCAAAAGGAGGTCTTTAGCCGCTTTCCTCTGGCGGCTATGGAGGTAATTCCCTAACCTTTTCCTTATTGCATTTAAAAATGTCCTCATATTACATTTCCTCTGGACTCACGTTCGGCTTAATTAGTACTCATGCATTGTTTTGCAGACTCTGTTTGGCATGATGGCCATGCAGAAGCATGTTGAGGCTGCCAACGCTAAGATGCGCAAGTTCGCCAACAACCTTGACGCAGCCACCAAAGAAAATAATGCTACTGGCGCCAAAAATGCTGAATTAATGGTGCAGCTGAACAAGGTTGAGAAGGAAAGGGATAGTCTGAAAAAGGAAGCAGACTCCC